ACTATGTTGAGTATAAGAGATTAAACACTTTTCAAGTAAATTACTAAATTTTAAAGTAAAGACTGTAAAGTCTTTCACTTTTTGTTATATTTGGTCACAAAATTGACTAAGACATTTTATTTTTTTCAAGTTGAAATGTTTAATGTAACATCAACTTAACTTTTTTTTTTTGTAAATCTGATTACCTTTATGTTGAACATGATTTTATTTAAAATATATTTTCATATTTATAGAGTTATAACATATTATAGTGTAAAAAGTTTTAATTTTGCTCAAAAAATGGGGTTCACATTATATATATAAGTAGTATATATATATATATATATATATATATATATATATATATATATATATATATATATATATATATATATATATATATATATATATATATATATATATATATATATATATATATAAATATATATATATATATATATATATATATATATATATATATATATATATATATACCACTTATATATATAATAATAATAATAATAATAATATATATCAGTGATATATATTATTATTATTATTATATATATATAAGTGGTATATATATATATACATATATATATATATATATATATATATATATATATATATATATATATATATATATATATATATATATATATATATATATATAGCATTCTATTTTGCAGAATACATTTTAAATTTTTTGAATATATATATAAATAAATAAATATATATAAATATATGTGTGTGTATATATATATATATATATATATATATATATATATATATATATATATATATATATATATATATATATATATATATATATATATATATATATATATATATATATATATACATATATACATATATATATATATATATATATATATATATATATATATATATATATATATATATATATATATATATATATATATAAATATATATATATATATACATATATATGTGATGTATTTTTGCCCAGCAATTTTTTAGTTAATGCATTTGGATATCTTTTTTAATTCAAATTTTCAATTATCATTATGACAAAACATTTTGAAATTAGTAAATATTCCATTCTATCTGTAAGCGAATTGAAGTTTTAGTTTAATAAACTTATGACACTAGATACTTATTTATAAGATATTTATTAATATTTCACTAGATATTTATAAATATTACGCTATATATTTAATTTTTTAACATTTAAGTTTGGAATTTTGATGTTTATTAAATGGGCTTTTATGCAATTCAAAGTAAAAGTGCTAGTTAGGCAAAGTTTTTTTGGACCCTGAAAAATAAATTAGTTAGCAAATGGTTCGACTTAACCACAGTACAATTAAGCAGATAATATTATAAAGTTCAACTGGAATTAAAAAAAAAAACATGCCAAATTTAGCTTTCAAATAGAAAAAACAAATAATTTTCCATTTGAATTGAATACAATATCAAGACATAAAAAACTGTTAAAATATAAAGTTACAATGAAATGTGCTCCATCATCAAAACAATTGTCTTTTTTTCTTTCTGTTGTTTTTCAAACAACAAAAAGAAAAAAAAGAAAAAAAGAAAAAACTATAAACGGCTGCCTAATCACCCGAATCAAACTTTGAAAAAAAAATTTGCTTTAATGTCTAAATTTAGAAACTAGTTCATTCTACTTATTTAATAAGTTATCAATGGTGTAAGATATTGTGAGAAACTTTTCAAATAAACATAGGTTGCAACGTTTTATTGTCGGATTGTAAAATCTATAACGTTTTACAATTTTCCACTCAATTGTCGAGTTTACTTCACTTTCTTTTAACCTCCATACTTCCTTAGATAATTCAGTGTTGTTTTTATATTTTTCAATATTAAAAGATTTTGTACGGTTAGCGTATCTAAGTTTGAATGCAGCTTCACTCAGTCCAAAATACACTTTTTCATTTCCGTTCAGAGTGCCTGGGTACAAAATGGTTTGATACACTATGTTATTTAGAAGACATTTTTGATTCAGAGGGCACTTGCTTTTAATAATACAATTGTAATGTTTATTGGAATCATAAATACCATAATTTTGGAATTATTGGAGAATGCATTGTATAGCAAGAAGTAATAACTTTCCAGAATATAAATTTTAGGAGAAATAAGCTAGAGCATTGTGGTGCTAAAAAATTTCTTGATGAAGCACATTTTTTATGTTATAATGAGGTAGCTTTGCCCTCACTTTTACCGTTTCCACAAGCTAAAAGATTTATTTACAGGGAACTGTATAGATTATAACTCTAATATGATTTTTTTTAAATAGATTGAAAATTATAACGCCTGTCTTTCTTTTGCTTCATTTACAGCAAATGTAGTTAAACCCATGAATCATAGGCTGCCATGTTTTAGAATATGTGGTCAAGTTTTTTATTGCGTTGGTATTCTTAGACCAGATCAAGTTGTTCCTTCATTATATTGTCAACTATACATCTATGATCTACTTGCAACAGTAAATTTTAGAGTGCAACAATGTGATAATGATTTTTGCTTAAATGATTTGATTGTTTCAATTGCAAATTATTAATATTAAATATAACCTATTTGCCCTTGCATTTAAATGGCTGAAATGGAAGATGAGAAGATGAAGTTGAAAATGAAAAAGTTTATCAAGCAGCCAAAGAAGGTCACTCAGTCTCAGTTTTAAAATTATTTACTTTATTTTTTAATTAAATTAAAATTTAAAATTAAATTTAAAATTAAAAAAAAAACAAAAGTAAAATGTCTTTACTTGACAGGCAAAATAGATTTCACCTATAATCTCCTTTCACATGGGTTGTGTTAGCTGGTTGTGTAAGTTGGTGTAGCTGGTGCTTCACCTGCTACACCAACTTCCCATGTGAAAGTAGATTATAGGTGAAATCTGCTACACCAACTTTCCAGGAAAGTTGTTATTTACCCAAGAGGTCAAACTCTTAAAACTATATTAAGTATTTCTGCCAACTTAGATCCTATGGTTTATTATCTATTTTTTCCGAAGAGTGATGCTGGTTGGCATAATCAATTGATTCACATCCCTTAATGTGCTACATTAGATAGAAATCTTAATATACATTAGATAGAAAGCTACATTAGATAGAAATCTTGTTACATCATCTCTGTATTATAACTATAGACTTTTTTTTCAGATTTTTTTTTATTCAATCTTTAAATAGCAAGAAACTATTTCAGAAAGATGCAAATGTCATAATGAAGGCCAGCACCTTGCTTTTATTAGGAACAACCAAATCACACTGAGAAGCAAGCAGTATGATGCCTCACATGAACATGTAAACAATCTTAGAAATAATCATATTATTAAACAAGGATGTATTGACCTTTGCCATCAACCTTTGTAGGAAGTCCTAGAGCTTAATAGATAGCTTTGAAAATGCTATAGTTTTAGTTATAAAGTATGGTAACCCAGATCTTTTTATTACTTTAACTTCCAACCCAAAATGGCACAAGATTAAAATTAAAATATATCAAACTAAAAACTTATATCCAGGTCAGACAGCAAATGATAAACCTGACTTGGTTACTGAAGAATATAAACTCAAATTTAATAACTTCCTCAATAATTGTTTTAAGCACAGTATATTAGAGAAAGTTGTAATACATGTTCAGGTTATAGAAATAAGTTAATTGAACCAACAAAGACTGCTTTTTCAAAACAGCAATTGAAGTAACCATTAACAACAGCAACAGTTTACCAAAAATAAGTAAACTGTTTTCCTGTTTTCGAAAATTTTTTCTTTTCTTTTGTATTTACTTATCTATTACAATTTTTTTTAGATTGATCGTGTAACATATTTATACAATTTAGGAGAACAAAAATAACAATTATTATGTTTTGTTAATTTGTTAATAACATTTATATATAATTGTAAATAAATTTGTCATTGGGTATAAATGGAAGGGCCAGATTTTAGAAACATGGAATACTTGAAAATTTTTGTTTGAAATGTAATTTCATCTATGATAGAGAGACTTTATGTAATTAAATTTTAGATATGTGCATTTAATGCTTTTAATGGATCAAACTATTTTATTTAATAAAGGAGAAGGGGGTAAAAATGAGCATTAAAAGTTTACTTTTATAACAAGTATTACAAGAATCTCTTTAACTATTCACTTAACTATTTACATATTACATATATATTACAACTTATTTACTAAAACTTATCGAAATAAAACATATATATATATATATATATATATATTTATTTTATATATATATGTGTATATATATATATATATATATATATATATATATATATATATATATATATATATATATATATATATATATATATATATATATATATATATATATAAATATATATATATATATATATATATATATTATATATATATATATATATATATATATATATATATATATATATATATATATATATATATATATATATATATATATATATATATATATATATATATATATATATATATATATATATATATATATGTATATATACTATTTTCCTGTCAAATACTAAAAACAATTGAAGTAACAAATAAGTGTAAAAATCTTTGGCTTAGAATAGACTTACCAAGATATTTTACGGAACAGAACTTAGAATAAACTTACCAAGATATTTTACGAATTAGTTCTAAAGAAATATCTGAGTAATCAAAATAGTAGAACACAATAAATGAGGTTGTCAATAAGAGCAGAGACTATTATTAAAATGATAAAATCAAAAATGAATTCCGACACTTTATGAATATGTTAAAATTTTTTTAATAAAGTTCTCTAAATTATATGTGTGTAGTTTACAATAAAAACACAAAGCACAAAGATAAAAAAACAAAAAAACTCTATTAATAATTAATAATAGTCGAATTTTTATTGCTATTGAACTAAATTGAATGGTCTGTAAAATTACATGGTAAAATTGAAAATAGTTATAGTTATTACCAATGATATATAAATCTTTCAATTAAATTAAACATACAACAAAACAATGAAAACAAATTATAGATCATACAAATAATCAATAGAAGCCTCCCATATTCCTCCCCATCTTCCTCTATTTTCTCCTTCAAGCATATACTTAATTGTTCTACTGTTAGACAACTTTTTTATGGAGTTTGCTTTATTAAGGATAGAATAATTTTCTATGAGTGAAGGAGTACCAGCATTCCTTGAATATATCTAAATAGAAATTGTAGAGAGGTTGTATTAACAAACATGATTTGGTAATGCAATAACCATTACAGATATTTTGAACTATTTTAACATTTAATTAATTTGAAGTTTAAAAAAAACGTATTAAAATAATTGATAAAAGAGTAAAAAATAATTTTTAGAGTTAGATCATATTATTTTATACTTATCAGTATATATAAAGTCAATGCATTCGCTTAATTTAAAAAAGGGACTTTGGTCTAGATTTTAAAACCTGATTTTGTTTTATGCACACCTTTAAAATGAACTTTTACAAAAATATGACAATGATGCAACAAATTTTTTTTAAACAACACAAAACAAAGAAAAAACAAAAAAAAAATGTATAATGTAAAATAAAAAAATAATGTAAAATAACAAAATAATTTGAAATAAAAAAAAATATATTTTGTTATATTTTACATTTTTTAATTTAAAAATATTTTTAAATTAAAAATAAGAAGTCAATTACAAGTTTCTCTGAAAACTGAGAGCAATTTGTAGGAAAGACATGACAAATACATCCACAAAGTGACAAATAAGATAAAAAATAACTCACCAGAAAGTAATGGCTACATCAACTAAGGGTTTAGGCTGAGTTAGAGTTCAGGTTAGGATTAGGTTTAAATTTGTTTATCTATTTTCAGGATGTAGAATGCTGAATCTTTTTGACTCATTGCATGGGTTTTGTTTGTGTCACTGTTTTTATGGCAACTAATTCTATTATCATCTAACAAGGTTACAACTCTAAAAAAACTCAAAACTCAAAAAAACAGCCCAAAAACTCAGTTTAATGGTTCTGAGGTCGGCTGGTAATCAGGTTTTCTAAACTCTGTGGCAACTCTCAGAGAGACTGATTCCATCAACAGCTGTAACATATAAGATTACAATCAGTGCCATCTTGTGCGTGGATGGTTGGAGTGCTTCATTACTGCTTAGGCTTTATTAGTAGTAATGAAGCAATCGATTGGACTTAATAGTAGATAGTAAACTAAGAACATCTGTGCTTTGTACTGCTGTACTATCTGTGCTTCAAATCAAGTTTTTTAACCAATTTTAAAAACTTACTAATATACTGTAAAAATGTACTGTAAAAAATGTAATAAAAATCTAAAAAAATGTAAAATAATGTACTATAAACATGTACCAATAAAGAAAATATTGTAGTACCCAAAACTATAAAACACAAAAAAAACATTGTCATCACGAAGTTCTCTAAATCAGTCATTAATATTCGTGATCCTTGAAGTAAAATTTCTTCTGTTTAGACTTACTCATGTAAAATTCACCAGACCTACTTGCTCTTTGTGAGAATAATTTGAGTTCAGCTGTCTCATCTTGTGATCTTAGTGTTAAGTTTATCTTCTTTTAATTCGAAAGGACTCAATTATTCAAATGCTTGGTCTGGGCATTTACATTTGTAAGAACTCACCCATTTGTTGGGAAAATAGGTTTGAGTTTAAAGATTGTTTTTTAATATACTTTTGTTTAACAACGCTTCACTCTATCAATTTTCTTTTTGTTCTTTATAGCACTCCCTTATCTCATGACTACATTTTTTCAATGTTATTACTGATCAAATTGACCAGGTTCTTTCTCTTTTTCCTTTATCCAATATCATTATTACTTGTGATTTTAATGCTCATCACAGTAAAAAGCTAAGCTCTATTGTCAGTGACTCTGCAGGTGTTAAGGCCCACATTTTTTACCTTTCTTAATCTCTAACACAAACAGGCAACTTTCCCACTTGCTTTCCAGACAAACCGAATCATTTACCTTCTCTACTACACTTATATCTTGCTCAGTTATCATAGTCAGTGCTCAGTTTTTGCACATTCACACGCAAAATTGTTTAGAGATAATAATTTTAGATAGGTCAACCACAAACAGATGCATTCACATGCATCTGTTTGTGGTTCGACCTCTCTAAAATTATCGCACTATTTTTCATCATTAGAATCTCCATAACATTGTACCTCTTACAACTACCTTAAAGTTGAGTGGATCTCTTTATGCTATTTTCTTTGTGATAGCCTTTGGGTAGAAATTTTTCCTCTTCCTGATGACAAATGTTCTTTTTCTTTAACTTCTTGGATTCAGGTTTGCATGAAATCCTTTATTTCTTCTCGACAATTCAAGTCAAGCCTTACTCTTCTTTGTTGTTTTCCTCTTATTGTGCTTCTGCAATTTCTAATTGTAACTATTACACCCATATTTATCTCCAAAACAATTCTCTAGAAAACGGACGCTTATTTACTCTTGCTAGAAACCGTTGTAATAATTTTTTGTCTAATTCCAAAACCAAATGATATTCTCAGGTTAAAAAATTTTGTATTTTTTCTCAAAAGATAGACTCCAGAGACTTCTGAAGAATCTTTAACAGTGTCTATAATAAGGTCTGTTAATAATTTGTTATTCCTTCTCAGTTGCATCGTTAAGATTTTGTTACCTCTCCTAAAGACAAAGCTAAATCATTTGTAAATAACTTTTCATTAATCTCATCTTTTGATTTCAATAATCACATCTTACCTAATTTATCCAACAACCAGGTTGATCCATCGCTTGACATTTGTATCATTCAAGCATATGTATCTAAAATGATTTTCTTGCTTAGACTTTTCTACAGCTTGTGGTCAAGACAACATACCTATTATAGTCTTGCAGAAGTGTTCTTTGAAGCTGTTTCAATGTCTTCAAATTTGTTTAACAAGCACTTATCAGAGTCTTGTTTTCCAGTCTGCTAGAAAGCGCATCTGTTATTCCTATTTTCAAAAATTCTGGACCTTCATCATTCTAAAGATCCAGAATTTTTGTTAGCTACAAATTAGCTTCAGCCAACCTTCAGCTGATTTAGTCATTGACTATATTTGAGAATCAAATCTAGTCAATGACCAAATCAGCAGCAGAGTTTGCCTTAGCATAACAAGATTTTCAAATATATGTGATTCATAATTCAGAAAGTGATACAAGACAGCAAAGAATGAACTCAGATTGGGTTTAACTTTAAGTTAATTAAGGAAAATTAAAGATATATGAAGTCACATTATTTTTATTTTCAGAATGATAATGTTGTTTCAATACTATTTTCGCCTGACTATATGTGAAATTTATTACAAAGTAAAGTTTAAAACATGATTTATGGCATCTTTTGTTGCACTACTAAACGTTTTGCATCTTTTGTTTCACTACTAAAAGTTACGCCACTGAACAGATTGTTTTTTTCTGTAAAAAAATTCTCTCAAGAAAACTTTGTTGTTTGCGGCTTATTTTATAATTGCCAAATGGCTTTGGTATTGTAGGTCATAACTTTCAAACATAAAGTAAATTCAAAACATTTATATGTTTATACTTGTGTCAAAAATAAGTTTTGTAAAAATATAGTAATGATTGGAGCCTGGGAACAAAAAAGCTCTTTAAATTTTTCTTATTGCTCTAAAAGGTAAGATCAAAAATTTAATAACTTTTTTTTTTACTAATGTAACTAAAATCATATGAATTAAAAATTTCAAATTTTATGTAAAAATATTTTAGCGTTTAAGAATTAAGGCAATATTAAGTTTGTAACCCCCTCATATTGAGGTGAGTTAAAACTTCAAAAGGTCGTCATTCCACCATGCAGAAAAACAAGATATATTTTTGTTAAATAGTTTTGTGATAAGAGATCGAAGGACAACACTTATTTCAAAAGTGTGACAAAATTCTGGATCAAACAGGATTCAATTTTGACAGAGATTTGATTTTGACAAAGGCCAAATATGTGCTTCAAAAAATTAAAAGTTTCTAATTTTTTTGTATATTTATTTTTTGTAAATTATGTATACGAAATAAAACTGAGATTTTGATTTAAAAAATTAAATGACAAAATATAAACATACAAAATACAAAATTACAAAATGTAAACATTTTGTTTCTTTATATCAACATTTTAGTATAAATGTCAAAAAACAAATATAAAAACTATAAATGGTGGAATGCTGTTAGTAAATTCTTTAACTGTTTGCTTCAAAATTGTCATATTACTAAATCTAATTAAAACTAAGCAGTGTACCTGATCTGGAGTCCATCCACCAGATGCTGATGTAACAAGCAATGTCCAGGCCTCATTTTCTGTAGAAGTCATGTCACAATAAACTGGCTGGTTATCAGCTAACATATAGAAACCATCACTGTATATTTGACCATTAACTACACCTCTTACTTTCAAGTCATTACATGAATATCGACTGAAATATTAAAAAAAAAAACTTTTTTTTTTTTTAATATTTATAACAATCACATACTTTATTCAAATTTTTAAATTACTTTAAAAAAATATTAGTTTTTTAAAAAATTAATTCACCTTCCACCTTCACGCAACCATATTCTAACAAATGAAGGATTTTCAAGAGCTGTCATATACTTTCCACTTCCAGCTATTATACCATAATTATCGCCATCATTCTATGTTAAAATAAATAGTTAAATTCCAGATATTTAAAATGATGAAGAAATTTCCTCATCACCATCATTATAATCATCACCATAATCATCATCTTCATCATTATCATTATCATCATCATTATCATCATCACCATAATCATTATCATCACCATAATCATCATCATCGTCATCATCATCATCATTATCACCATCAACATCATCACCATCATCATCACCATCATCATCATCATCATCATTATCATCATTATCATCATCACCATCATCATTATCATCATTATTATCATCATGATCATGATCATCATCATCATCATCATTATCATTATTATCATCATTATTATCATCATCATCATTATCATCATTATTATCATCATCATCATCATCATCAACATCATCATCATTATCATCGTCAACCATCATCAGCAGTAGCATCATCAATATTATCATCATAAAAAAATATGCAGACAAACTCACAAATGAATTAGCTGACATGACAAATCCATTTTTAAGAGATATGCAAAGTGGATATTTAGCTATGTTTTCAACTGACTCATCCCAAGTTCCAAACTTTGTCAAAAGAGTTGGTCTGTAACTTTTAGAGCATGAAAATGAATCATATTCAACAGGTATTGAAAAAATACCACCATAGGAGTCTTGATTTTTTGCTTCCAACATAATTTGATATGATTTCTATAAAAACTTAAAATTATTACATAACCGAAAAATCACACATAAAGCAAACATAACAAGCATCAAGCTTTATGCAAAATTAATGTAAAAATAAAATAATAATATTAATAAATACACATAAATGACATGTTAGGCCCAAATGATAATTAAAAAATATATATAATAGAAAATAATTTATAGAATATTAATAGCAATATTGCTATTTAGTAATATAACAATAATAATATCATAATATATCTTGAATGGTTTAAATGGGTTTCTGTAATACTGTATTTTTATTTATATGTGATATCAAATAAAGCAATTTTTAATAACTAAATATGAATTTTATATCAGAGTTATTATTTTCCTAGGTATGTTGCTTTCACTTTGGATAAAGAAATGTAAATCCCCAAGCTATATTATATATTACCCAATATTATGCTTTTATTTTATATTTAAAATACCTTTATTAATAAATGATTAAAAACGATTTAAATATCACTATAAAATTCTAATTAAAAAAATTAAAATTTAGTTAAAGTCAATGTAGTTAGTTGCTACCTCACTTCTGTCTCTTAATTTCATATTTTCAAGCCATCCAGCTACTGAAAAATCTTTTTCAAGTATTTGATCTGAAGAAAAAAATTTTATTTTTTCTAAATCCCAATTCTTTGTGACAACATTGGATAACAATGTCCAACCTCCTCCGTATCGATCGAAATCACAATATGTTTTAATGATAGTTTTTGGAAAAGGTTCAATTTCATATACTCCACTTTTAAATTGATTGGCTCTTGATAAACTTCGAAAATAGATGTCAAGACAAGATACTGGTAATGAGGGGACACCCTTTCTAACCCAATACCTATTAAATTATTGTTTAAAGCATAAGTAAATACATTAATATAAAAAAGAATACATTAATATTACATAAAACAAACTTTTGCTATTAAAATTAATGTGTCGGTTTTATATAAGTTCATAGAATGAAAACTTATTATTATTTAACTTTTATTGAGTTTTTAAATTTTACAAACAAAACAGTTATTTATTTTTATTTTATTTTGAACAATTTTTAACACATTTTTTCTTTCAAAATATTATACCAGACATGCTCTGGATCCTGCATCTTTAAACTTCCTTTTACCCATGGTGAAGGATAGAAACCCATTCTTTTATCTTTTTTTAATTAAAAAAAAATTAAAAAAATAAATAGAACAAATTTCAAAATTTATATCCAGATAACAGCAACCTACCTGTAAGTGAACCCCAGGTGCTTGATAAAACTGATTTAGATGTTGTTATGAAATAACCAGATACATAAGGAACCCGCTGACCAATACTTTGAGAACCAAATTCCCAGTCATCAAATTTTTCAAGAAGTTTTACATTTGTTTGTTTATTATTTGTTGAAGATAGGTCATATACAGCAGGTGCCGAAAACACTCCACCCCATCGACCTATGTAAATCATGATTTTAAAAAAATATTTACATGCGTGAACAAGTTGTTAGTATACACCAAAACAAAATCAAATCATTAGTGAAATTGAAATTTTACATTTTAAAATTGTTCTAATCCAACTTTGAACTAATTTTTTGAATAAACAATTTTATTGTAACAAACTTTAATTAAAATCTGTTTAAAAAAAATTCTATCAAGATAAATAACCAAATGTTAAAGGAAAATGGTGGCAAAGGATAATAGTTGCAAAAAAAAAAAATTGAAACCAAGAAATTTAAAATATAATATTGCATATACTACATACTACATATTAAATATAACTCAGCAGTATAAGATGTAACTCAGCAGAATAAGATATATATATATATATATATATATATATATATATATATATATATATATATATATATATATATATATATATATATATATATATATATATATATATATATATGTATATATATATATATATATATATATATATATATATATATATATATATATATATATATATAAGATATATATATATATATATATATATATATATATATATATATATATATATATATATATATATACATATATATATATATATATATATATATATATATATATATATATATATATATATATATATATATATATATATATATATATATATATATATATATATATATATATATATATATATATATATATATATATATATATATATATATATATATATATATATATAAATAAGCAACTTTCAATTTATTTTACAAATAAATTTAAAGTTGCTTATTTTACAGATGATCAAATTGAGTTTATAATAAAACAAAATAATTAGTAATATGGATTTTAAAAGAGTAATTTCCAGCAATAATAATTTCAAGTATTTTAATGGCATCTATTAAACTTTTAAAGATGTTAATTGACGCAACATAAGTTTTTTATGCTAATTTTATTTTTTGTATTAATTATTTGTTTATTATCTGCAATCAGTACAAGATTAATACATAATTATAGCACATTTTTTAGGGCCATTATTATATATAAATACTGAATAATAAATAAATCCTGATTTAAAAAAATATAAAATTACTGAAATATATAAAAATATAATATGTAATAATTATATAAAAAAAAAAAGATATTATTATGTAACAAACATTATAATAATAAATACTGACTTCAAAAAACATGCATCGACCCAATATTTGTTATCAGTTTTCATATTTATTGAAGTTTTGTTGTTGTTTTTTTTTTGTTAACATTGATTGAAGAGATTCTTCTCTATTGTATTGTCTCTTTTCTACAGCTATTGTTATTATTTATAATGAGATTATTTTATTAATAACTTTTTTTATACTTTATTTTTTATACTTTTTATATATATATATATATATATATATATATATATATATATATATATATATATATATATATATATATATATATATATATATATATATATATATATATATATATATATACATATATATATATATATATATATATATATATATGTATTTATATTTATATATATATATATATATATATATATATATATATATATATATATATATATATATATATATATATGTATATATATATATATATATATATATATATATATGTATATATATTCTAAATGTTATAAATTTCATTAGCTCTATAACTTAGAAGATATAGGTTTGACTGCATCCAAAACAACTATTAGATTAAAAAATAGTATACTATTATATATACACATAAGTATACTATAAAAATATGTCAGAAAAAAAAACTTGAAAAAAGAGGAATTCATTAACTACTTATTTATTAATATTTTTTATTACATTATTATTATATCTTAGAATAAATTCTATATCTATCAACTATCTTCATTCTTTTTAAATAAACAACAATTAATTCAATATGCCACTAGAAAAAATTACCAAGTGCATTTGCTTCCAATCTATAGTTATTTTCTTTGATAAGATAGTTGATGTAGCAACAATTCGCATGTTTTAAAAAAAATATTCAGAGTGTTTTTAAAAACATTCTAAATGTTTTTAAAAACACTTTGAATGTTTTTTTATTTTTTAACTGTAAAACATGCGGAGTGTTGCTACATCTATATATATATATATATATATATATATATATATATATATATATATATATATATATATATATATATACATATATATATATATATATATGTATTTATATTTATATATATATGTATATATATATATATATATATATATATATATATATATATATATATATATATATATATATATGTATGTATATATATTCTAAATGTTATAAATTTCATTAGCTCTATAACTTAGAAGATATAGGTTTGACTGCATCCAAAACAACTATTAGATTAAAAAATAGTATACTATTATATATACACATAAGTATACTATAAAAATATGTCAGAAAAAAAAACTTGAAAAAAGAGGAATTCATTAACTACTTATTTATTAGTATTTTTTATTACATTATTATTATATCTTAGAATAAATTCTATATCTATCAACTATGTTCATTCTTTTTAAATAAACAACAATTAATTCAATATGCCACTAGAAAAAATTACCAAGTGCATTTGCTTCCAATCTATAGTTATTTTCTTTGATAAGATAGTTGATGTAGCAACAATTCGCATGTTTTAAAAAAAATATTCAGAGTGTTTTTAAAAACATTCTAAATGTTTTTAAAAACACTCTGAATGTTTTTTTATTTTTTAACTGTAAAACATGCGGAGTGTTGCTACATCTATATATATATATATATATATATATATATATATATATATATATATATATATATATATATATATATATATATATATATATATATATATATATATATATATATATATATATATATATATATACATATATATATATATATATATGTATTTATATTTATATATATATATATATATATATATATATATATATATATATATATATATATATATATGTATATATATATATATATATATATATATATATATATATATATATATATATATATATATATATATATATATATATATATATATATATATATATGTATATATATTCTAAATGTTATAAATTTCATTAGCTCTATAACTTAGAAGATATAGGTTTGACTGCATCCAAAACAACTATTAGATTAAAAAATAGTATACTATTATATATACACATAAGTATACTATAAAAATATGTCAGAAAAAAAAACTTGAAAAAAGAGGAATTCATTAACTACTTATTTATTAGTATTTTTTATTACATTATTATTATATCTTAGAATAAATTCTATATCTATCAACTATGTTCATTCTTTTTAAATAAACAACAATTAATTCAATATGCCACTAGAAAAAATTACCAAGTGCATTTGCTTCCAATCTATAGTTATTTTCTTTGATAAGATAGTTGATGTAGCAACAATTCGCATGTTTTAAAAAAAATATTCAGAGTGTTTTTAAAAACATTCTAAATGTTTTTAAAAACACTCTGAATGTTTTTTTATTTTTTAACTGTAAAACATGCGGAGTGTTGCTACATCTATATATATATATATATATATATATATATATATATATATATATATATATATATATATATATATATATATATATATATATATATATATATATATATATATATATATATATATATATATATATATATATATACATATATATATATATATATATATATATATATATATATATATATATATATATATATATATATATATATATATATATATATATACATATATATATATATATATATATGTATTTATATTTATATATATATATATATATATATATATATATGTATATATATATATATATATATATATATATATATATATATATATATATATATATATATATATATATATATATATATATATATATATATATATATATATATATATGTATATATATTCTAAATGTTATAAATTTCATTAGCTCTATAACTTAGAAGATATAGTTTTGACTGCATCCAAAACAACTATTAGATTAAAAAATAGTATACTATTATATATACACATAAGTATACTATAAAAATATGTCAGAAAAAAAAACTTGAAAAAAGAGGAATTCATTAACTACTTATTTATTAGTATTTTTTATTACATTATTATTATATCTTAGAATAAATTCTATATCTATCAACTATCTTCATTCTTTTTAAATAAACAACAATTAATTCAATATGCCACTAGAAAAAATTACCAAGTGCATTTGCTTCCAATTTATAGTTATTTTCTTTGATAAGATAGTTGATGTAGCAACAATTCGCATGTTTTAAAAAAAATATTCAGAGTGTTTTTAAAAACATTCTAAATGTTTTTAAAAACACTCTGAATGTTTTTAAAAACATTTAGAAATTTTTAAAAACATTTAAAAATAGTATACTATTATATATACACATAAGTATACTATAAAAATATGTCAGAAAAAAAAACTTGAAAAAAGAGGAATTCATTAACTACTATATATATATATATATATATATATATATATATATATATATATATATATATATATATATATATATATATATATATGTATATATATTCTAAATGTTATAAATTTCATTAGCTCTATAACTTAGAAGATATAGGTTTGACTGCATCCAAAACAACTATTAGATTAAAAAATAGTATACTATTATATATACACATAAGTATACTATAAAAATATGTCAGAAAAAAAAATTTGAAAAAAGAGGAATTCATTAACTACTTATTTATTAGTATTTTTTATAACATTATTATTATATCTTAGAATAAATTCTATATCTATCAACTATGTTCATTCTTTTTAAATAAACAACAATAAATTCAATATGCCACTAGAAAAAATTACCAAGTGCATTTGCTTCCAATCTATAGTTATTTTCTTTGATTGTGTAATCAGTCTTTGTTAGTTGATTAGCATATTTAAAAATTGAGTAGTCGCTATAAATATCTGGTTTATCAACATTTCTCTCCCAAACATTATTTTCATCCCAGGAATTAGAGTGTGAAGAAACAATAAGTGTCCAACCTCCACCATTTCGTGTCATATCACAGTAAACTTCCAACTGAGGACTTCCATTTGGTTTTATTGTGTACTGACCATCATATAATGGTTGCCCTTGCTTTTCTAATATCTCTTTAATTTCAAGGCAAGATTCAGCAACTTAGAAAAAAAATCAATAACAAATTTCAAAAAAAAATGTTTCAATCATTAAAAAACAAACATTTTCAGTAATTAACTATATATAACTAGTAAGTAGCTAAATCAAACAAAGAGTTACGCCCTGGGTTAAAAATAAAAAATAAAATAAAACTTAATACTAATAAAATAACAATATTAACATAAAAAAAATAATAATACTAAAAATAAAAATAAAAAAAATTTGCTTTCATAACTTAATGTTAGGAGCAAATACATTATCATAATATATGGTATCTACGAAAACTTAATTATAAAAAAAAAACTCTTATTTCAATATTGACAGAGTCCATGTCTAGGTTAGATTCCATACCACTGAAAATCAAAACTAACTGGACAAAACATAAAAGATCAATTTTGCATTTACATTATACTTAAAAACTCATCTTTATAAAAGCTCTTTTAAACCTTTAATTTAAAACTACTTTTAATAAATCAAACTAAACTTAATAATTACCTGGACAAGATAATTCATTGCATATTTGCTCCGTAATAGCATCACCACTGCATTCTTTACCACCATTCAGCGGTGCAGGATTAGAACAAAAACGATATCTTTTTTGGATACCTCCATTGCAACCCTTGGAACACTTTGAATATTCTGACCACTCACTCCAATTACCATCAATAGGATTAAGTTCTAAGTGAAAATAATTTACAGATGAAACTACTAAATTATTTAACTAATCTTGTGATTTTTTTAAGAAAACCTTGAAAAAAACAATCTTTTATGTTAGCAATTTACTTGTGAAGCAGTTGTCAGCTTCATTATAACCATTGTTGCACATACAAGTGCCATAATTTGTACAAACCTGAAAAAAAATGTTTTATCTAAATAACAAATTTATAAAAATATAGATTTCAAAATAATTATTCATTTAGTCTAACTAAACCCTGATCCTGGGAAGATGTAGACTTCATCCAATTATTATTTTAAATATTTAAGAGAATAATTGGATGCAGCTTAAAAGCTTAAGTTTGAAAAACTTTAGGGATTAGCATAATATTTTAGTTGAATAGCCTTTCACACCTTCTTAATCTAGTAGGCTTGTAAAAATACAAATCTGTGTTACACCATTTTCCACATAGGATGATGGAACTTGACTATTTTTTGCTTGAACTCCCTTAAGAGTTAATATAAAATTCTTTTCTTAACAACCTAGTTTAATGATTCCAAGCCTAATTGTGGGAAAATTTTTTCAAACATGTGGTAGCTTTAAGCTACCACATGTTTGAGACACTGATTTGAGTAATAGCAATATCAAGTTTCACATAAAAAGTGTCCCTATTGATTTTTCTGTTGTGCATTGTTTTATGTATTGGTCTTATAAATGATGAATATTATCCTTTGATTTACTAAGACTCCACTAGTCAGATGAATGGTCTTTAACTTATTCCCTACAGTTAACAGCCAAGCCTCACTTTCATTCTCCTACTTTGTGCAGCTACTTTAAACCAATTTCTTCTTTTTATCAAAAGCATTCTTGAGAACAAAGCACTCTTGAGAACAAAGACCCTTTTGTTATTGCAAGAAATTAGTGCTAAACAGCATTGCTAAACACTTAAGTCGATTAATTTCAGACTATTAATTATCTCAAAGTTTATCTTATAAACCAGGTTCCAGATGAAAAAACTATCAACATTGTCATTAAGAAAGGTAATTTTAAAGTTATTCCATTTCTTATTCATAGGTCTGATCTTGTTGATCCCTTCCCAAGAATAGAGTAAAACTATTTGCAAAACATTTTTCTTTTAATTTATTTCTTGAATCACATTAATCATCTCAAAGAAAAAGATTAATCTACTATTAGGAATCAAAATCACTCTTGATTCTGGTTCCAATGTTAAAAAACTCTGGAGATCATTCTGACCCTCTAACATTTTCCTAATTTTTTTTCTATTGTTAGCAAAGCTCAAAAATCTTCAACTCTCTAAACTTACTCCTGACTTTTTAATAAAAAGAATGTTCTTTTGTACATTACATGCAAAAGGTAGCGGTTTAGTAATAGAACACTTGCTTTGTAAGTGAAAGAATAAGTTTCATATCTGATAGAAGAAGTGATAACTTTGTAAGTGATATTTCATATCTGTATACATTATCTTTGTAAGTGATCTTCATATCTACATATTATCTTTGTAAGTGATATTTCATATCTGATAGAAGAAGTGATTTCTTTGTAGGTGATAGAAGAAGTTTCATATCTGAAAAAGTTTTTAGAACATTTTAACCATTTCATTTTAATTCCAATATTTAGGTTGTCCTTGATGAACACCACTCTTCTTCATTTCCAATTACTTCTGAGGTACCATGAGGATCTATCTTTGGTCCTGAGTTTTTTCTCATTTATATTGGTGATTTCATAATAATCTTACCTCTAAAGGGACTCTATTTGTAAATAGTAGTAAGAAGTAAATAGAAGCACAATTAATACTTGACAAATACTCATCACATTTTGATCTCTTAGAACAGGTAGTCAATCTTGAGCACAACTTCATGACAACTCTGGGCTCAATAGTGGCTGGTGAATTTAAATTTTGCTAATTTATTTAATTCTAAACTTAATATCTAACTTGATAATTATTAGCTAACTGCTAATAATTACTATTGTAGCTGTAATACAGTTGATATTACTTGATATTTATGTAATTTTATATATTCCTTTATTGATGAATGGCAAAACTTTTATTGAGTCTAGAGATGGTCAGGAATGGGATGTCTACTATATGACTTTTAGAAATATTCTTTACCACTGAACTCTCATAGAAATTATTAGTAGTTCCATGTAGCCTTGTTGTTTTCTTTTTTGTTTTAACTTTGTCAAAGGTTATGAGACTTTTTCTTTAAGAAATTGATTTAAATTTAGCTGTTTTATTTTCAGATTCCAGCGTTGATAGCTATTTTAAATGACATCCCTGCCAGAAAAGCACATCCATGCCATATGGCTACCTCTTTCATGTTTATCTGGTACTAAAGATGGAACTTTGTGCTACTTCAAAAGTTACTGGAAATCAAGGAGAACATTGTTTATCAGGAACTTTAATACTAAAATTTGAAATAAATGATTAATCAGCTTGAAAAACTTTCCTAAACATTGTATGAAGCTAGCTATAGAAAAAGAATATTAAGTTAACTATGAAAGATAACATCAAAACTTAAATAAAAGCTTTTGATATATTTAGATCAATAGCCTTTACCTCATTTCTTTCATCTAATTCTTCATAGAACTTTTCTTATATAACAATTAAAAACTCATTTGGAGAACGACTGGATCAAAAACCTATTGTCAGAGAGTAAGTAGTTCAACTCAAAGTGAAATATTTGAACTTTGTTAAACAAAGTTTTAATGACTTTGCTATCAATAGTATGAGGTCAGGGCAACAATTAGATTGGTCTGAGCAATCTCTAAATTTTTTAAAAATTTTTCGAGTAGATAGAAAAACAAGATTTAGTTAAGCATTTGTGAAATAGTTTAGTTTTTCAATAAAAAGAGCTCTGCCTTTTCTTTAGGAGAGGTAATAAGATCAGATCCATGTATGAGAGAGAGAATACAAGACTTTTCTTTATTAATGACAATACCTTTTAACAACAATTTCTTGCAATGATGATAAAGTATAAACATATCAATGGTTTTTAACAAGCTCTGGCATACTGCTCTTCTCCATTATCTATTTTTGCATGTTGTATAAAAATTTTGTATTATTAAACCTTTTTATTCTAAATTCAATTTTCTTATCTAATATTGTTTTTCATCTATGTCAGTAATTTTCTTGATGGTCCTATCTCTAAAATGGCTCTTTTGTTAATGACTCATCTATATACTATATACTCCACATTAGATCCTAGGCCCTTCTAAGTTGATTCTATTATACATCTATTGTATTATACATCATCATTCACTACTCAAATTTAGAATCTGCTAAAGTTGTTACTTTTTATCATCCTGGCCATTAACTGTTTTCATAATTTGGTTGGTTCTTACATGCAGGTACCTTAGTTTTATTATCAAAAAACTGCATTTTTTCTGTTTTCTACAATCAAGATTGCGGCTTACGCAAAAAATTATAATTTGTTTATAGAACAAAACAATCTAGTGTGATTATCATTTAGCAAAGTCCCATTCATTTGCTAAACTGTTTTTTCATATTTACAATACTTTTACTTATATAGTTTTCTTACTCAAATGTTAACATTTTTAAGTTAACTCAAGTGTTAACATTTTTAAGTTAATATTTATTTTCATGTTTTAAAACTTATTAAAAACTTTAAGTAACATTTATGGAGTAAACTTAATAAAAAATAACTAAATAAATTCAAGAAAACTTTACATAAAGAAAAGGCTTTAAGCCTTTTCTTTTTGTAAGATTCACTTGAATTTATCTTAACAAATATATTTTTTTTAATTTTACAACTTTAAGTATATGTTTCTGGTTAGTAAAAATATTTTTGCTTATTTATGCAGTCGAAAATTTTTTAAGTATACTTACTCCGTTTCCAAAACATTCCTTTCCATTTATTAAACAAGATTTGAAACCATGTTCACCAGCAGACTTGCATTTTCTATCGACACAAAACTAAAATGAAATTTAACATTAAAAAACTAGACAAAAAACTCTTAAAAGTTTAACAGAGACAGTATTTTTGAACCTTATTTTCTGCACACATAGTACCATCTAAAACCATTCCAAAGATGCCCTGGGTACTCTCTGTTATGGAAGCCCCACTAAAACAAAATATCAAATTAAAATAAAATATTGGAGTCGAAATTAAAAATAAATTCTTCTAAAACATTCTTCTAGAATGATTTAACCAAAAATTCAACAAATTTAACAAGTCTCATTTTGTTAGTAAATCAATAAATTTGAAAAAATTTTTAACTTTTTATTATAATTAATTAGCAAATAAACTTTATATAAGTTAAAAAGAAATAAACAAAATTTTTAGTAGCAAAAAAATTTAACATTTTTTTTTAAGTAAAATAAAGAATTTAAAAGCAGATATCATTAAATGAGCCAATAATAACCAAAATAAATTTAATATAATAAATTTAATATAATAAATGTTTGTAAATTATGAGAGTAAAAAACTGTTAACTAAACATTTATTTATAAAAAAGAAATACAAAAAACATAACAAACCTGCATTTTTCCTCATCATATATAAACTGCTGGTAATATTTTCCATAACCTGGTTTTCTAACAGGTGTCAACTGCTTAGCATTACATTGAAGCTGGCCACATTTCACATCGCTAAAGTAAAACAAACACTTTATCATATAACTATTAAGTTTATAAAAAAACATACAATATTTACTATTAAAAAATTAAATGTAACCTTATGTCACAAGATGTATTTTGATTAGGCTGACATGTACCATAGCCATTCTTCATTGTGTTCAAGCTATTCCAGCAAGAATCAGAAGCAACAAGTGTGTCTGTATGTATATGTATGTATATATACATATATATATATAAATATATATATATATATATATATATATATATATATATATATATATATATATATATATATATATATATATATATATATATATATATATATATATATATATATATATATATATATATATATATATATATATATATTTGTAAAGATCTATGAACCTATGTATATTTATAATAATTATTGCAAAAAAAAAGTAAAAACATGTATAATGCTAAATATTCTTTTCTATCAGCTACCTGCTTTGTACACTTTTGCATCAAACAATTTAAAAAGTTTTTATTTTCAAGTACTGCACATACACAAAGTAGAAGCCCCACATATTGTTCAAAGGTTCAAAATTATCACCTGTTTTGTACATTACTCACTTGTTTATTTCATATCTTTATCACCCGATAACAAGATTATTGCACAGAAAAAGAAGATGAACATTGTACTTCTAGAAGCCTTGTGTGCGTAGGGTGGATTTAAACCTCAAACCTCTTGATTGTGAGTTTTCTATCACTAGTCTTTTGACCACTAGTCTCCTACTACATCTAGTAGGATAAAAAAGAAAGACAGTTATCAAAGTTGTGCAATGTGCTTTATGTACAAGCAGATATATTGTTGATGTTTCAATTTTGGCATATATACTGATTATCTAATCAGAAGCTAACTTATATAAAAGTGTGTTAACTTGGATACAAACTTTGAGGCTATTTTTTTTTTTTAAATTGAAAAAATAGTGAGTCCTAGCTAGAGTTTTAGCTAGAAATTTAGTAGAGTTTGAAAAAATGTAACTTCAATACAATTAAGAAAGTAACTTGCTACACACAATGAGCATTTTTATTTGTGACAGACTAAATAGAGGTTATTTAACACACTGTACAAATACCACATGAGTGCCATACAATAATGCACAAACAGAACATGGCAATATATGCGTCACATAGCAATATATAAGTAACACAAGGCAATTTACAAGCATGAGTAATATATTAATTTTGGTCATACATTTAACATTTGTAATGAAATAATAAAACTAATGCAACTTGTGATAAAATGGTAAAAATGAAAGCAAAATCTTAGAAAAATGGTATTGACCTTTACTGTTTTTGATTTTTACCCTAATATTTTTTCGAACAGAAAATTAAGAAAAAATATTAAAAAAAAATTCAATACAGCTGTTCAAATTTAAGATTATTTCTGGATTTTTAAGATGGAACAAATCAGCCCTTTATGTGCTAGTCTTGAAAATATTTCATTTGTAAAAAGTGACTGCAATTAATATTAAAAATCAATTTCCTGTGGAGAATCATTTATAATACTAGTTTAGAATAATCATTAAAGATTGCAAGTCTGGAAACTACTCATCAGTGTATAAAAAACATAACTTATTAAGATAATATAACTACTTGTAATAGTTTAATAAAATATAGAAATAAATGTTTAATAAAAAATAATACCACCCTTCTATATTTGGGTCACCATTTGACAGAGTTGACCTACCAGTAGACCTAAAAGTGTTTTAGGTCAGCAATTTTTTACCAACCTTGTCTCTTTGTTTAATGGTAACCCCTTGGGTCAAATTTTTTTGCTAACCTAATACCTCTAACAATTTGATGTATTAGCATATTTATATTGTATATGTATATATAATATACATCTTAATCCAATAGAGGTGTCATCTCTTAGGGAGTTTGCAACAAAAAAATTACTTTGACTTAGGAAGTTTGCAACCACTGCAATTATATCATTAAGTGATCTGGAGGATCTACCAAGCTCAAAGCTTAAGGTTCACTTAAAAATAAAGCATGGAATTGATTTGTCTCAAACTGAAAAAAATCTTTCTGATCAAGCTGTAGCAGAAAGAAAACATAAAACAATGCTTGATTTTGTTCAACGCAAGATGAAATACTTTCTGACATGGCCACAGACATAATATCCATTAGAGCTATCACTAGAAATCAGTTCATTTGAAATGCAATCAAAAAAGAAAGACATCAACTTCTTATAAATACTTATAATATAAATACTGATTTTCATAAAAAGAAAAATTAAAAGGTTTCAGAAGTTGTTTCAAAAATTGCAAATAGAAAAATTCAGTATAAGTGTTAACAAGCATACAACTATTTGCCACCGCTTCTTTGGAATTTTTTCTTCTTTGCATTGGAGGAACGAAAATAAAACATGGGATTATTTTGCATCTTTCTTTCATACAATGCTGAAGCAATAGTTGAAAAAGTAATTAAATTTGAAAAAGATATGGTATTATCAACACAAGACAGTGTAGCAATCAACAAAAAATATATGGAAATTATCAAGATTATCAAATAGTATTGTATTAATCATGGTATTCACTTAGGAGTAACTGACACTTTTTATTAGAAAAACCTGAAAATTATTTAAAATGAGTTAGATTCGGACTCTTGACAACTTTGAAAATAATGACATGGAGGTTGAGCAAGTTGATTTTTCAAAAATCGATTTCTATTCTGTTTTGAAAAAGCACAATATGCTGTCAAATATATTGGAACAACATGATGTCATATATATCAGAAATTTGACCATTAGAAAATAAATATTTCAAAAGTAAAAAGTAACTCAAGCATTCAGTCAAGCATACAGTGAAAAGTAACTCAAGCATTTGGAGCTAAAATCAAACCGCACCTTCAACATCGATAGAATCCCCACAATGATTGATCCATTAATTGAAACAAAACTTTGCCTGTTTGAGACATTAATTTAGTTAAATATGCTCAATCTGAACAATAAGATGGGTTTTAATGCTTTGTAAACTGCCATGAGGCCAATCAAAGTTGCTGTTGATTCGTTGTGAAAATTCAACGCTTTTGGCAGCTGATACTGTCATTGGCTTTATGCTAAAAAAACATTCAAATTTAAATAAAAACATTGGAAAGGAATTGTATGGAAATCTCAAAAAGCAAATAAATAAAAGATGAAAAAAAGATGCTCAAGAAGTCAAAAAGTGAAAGTTGGAATAACAATGTGATGAAATTATTAAAATCACTAAGAGATACTACAAATAATTCAATAAGAGGTATATCGCTGGAAATTTGGCAAAAAGGAATTTTTAGTTTTCGGGGAGAAAAAACATCTGATTCTGGTGATTCTTGGAATCACCAGAAGAATTTCTGAAGATTAGAATCAGTTTATTCAAGCATCACTTTCTCTTCAAGAAGAGAAAGTGATGGAGGAAGTAGAAGTAGAAAGTGATGGAGGAAGAAGGAGGAATTGAGAAGTAGGAGGGAGTAATAAGTAGAATTATTGCTGAGAAAGGAAAAAGTTACTCCCATTTTAATAGTCAAATGGCTAAAACAGGAACTTTTGCTATTTTGAACACAGCAAGAAAAAAAAATTGTTTACTCTTCTTACAATTAAACCAAAATTCACAGATGTTGAACAAGTTTTATCAATTTCAATAAATTATGTCGAAAAATAAATTTTGTTGAAAAAATACTTAAAAATAATAACAAATTTGCATAAATTTTGTTGAAAAATTGTTAAAAAACTCACTCACGTTCCTTAAATTTAACTTTAATAAAAAATAATCCTAAAAATTGGACTATTTTGTTGTAAATTCCATGTAAAACATCTGTTAACAGCTGTATTTTTTTAATATAAAACAGAAAACACCTGTTTTCCGAAACTACATTTGTTTGATAAACTCTAATATTTACCTGACTCCCACAATGTTTGGCATTGCTCAGCTAATGTAAGTTGGCATATACCAGAGAAACAAAAACTCTTCAATTTCTAAAATTAAATTGAATAAATGAAAACCAAACACTTACAAAGATAACTCTAAAAACCATAGGTTTGAGTAAAAAAAACTTTTAAAATATTGATGCCATTAAAATTTAGTAAAAAATGACCCCCAGATTATGATTGTCGTGTCATCATTGTCATCCTTATCTTTCTCACTACTTTCCAGTTTTTGCCAAAATGAAAAGTTTTTAATGGTTCTTTTAAATTAAAACTATGCTTCAGTCATTGTAGCTTTGTATAGCCTTTTTAAGAACTATAGAAAAAAATTGTTGTATATTGTATACTTTCTAAGATATTACAAATCAATTTCTTCAATTTTTTTAATTTTTTTTTTGTATGATAAAATTAAAAAATAGTCTTTAAAGGCATAGGGCAGAAACTGTGACATGAGACACTATGCAGTACTGTGTCGTGTGACAAGCAGATTTTTAACAGGGTCTTAGCTCATTTTACCTTAGACTTCTGGGGGTCTTGAAAGTAGGGGTGATTTAATGCATTGGCATTAGCCTGCAAATGCATCAATCATTTAGCCAATGCATTAGCATCAGCCCTTGTTACCAAATTCTGATTGTTTTGAAAAACATTAATTTTTTTATTTTAGTGTTGCTATATTTAGTTTAGTTTCTATATTTATTCAAGTGTATGCAAACATATAATTATGCAATAAACATACTCCCATGTATAAGTTTAAGTTATTTTATAGGCATATTTAAATTCATTTAACCTTATAAAACATCTGTTGAACTGTCTTTTATCAGGGGCTTTCCACTTTTTTTGTAAAAATAAAAAAAAACGTTCTTATTTCAAAATTATTTTGAACTTACTTATTTTTTTCTTTTTCTCAAGAAAAATGCCTCTATTAAAATTCTTTGATTTAGTTGATTTTGTTAATTCAGTGTTCTTTTTGAAACTTGATAAATGTTGTATATGCTTTTTGTCATTTTTAATATTTTGGGTGGAGAGCTAGATTCTAGGGTTTATTTGGATAAATTACTTGCTTTGTTATCTGATTGATTCAAGTTGTCGGTAGCAAAAAGACTATCTGTAATATCAGTTTTATATAGGTTCATGTATTGCTCTTGAATATTTAATTTAATCTTTCTGTTTATCTGATATGACATAACTAAGTTTAAACCTCGGATCTAAAACTGTAGAAATATTTAAGTTTTTGTTATATTTAAGTTTTTGTTAAAGTTATTTAAAGCTGGAAAACCTTGAAATTAAACCACCTTCAACTCTTTTATTATAGTTTTAATTTCACCTCCATTTTCTGATGCATAATGTCAGGTATGCGCCTATTAAAGTTATAAATGGAACAATTTGAGACACTGATGCTCTATTGTAGCTGCTTCAAAAAGTTTTAAAACAAAGATATGTGAGTCAGCTAATAACCATTGGTTTTCTGTAAGATTGGAAGCAATACATTTTTGATTTCTAATAAAAACAATGTCAAAAAAATCTTTTGTTCCACTGGCTTTTCTAGCATGTAAAATATTGAGTTCCATCTTGTTACTAAATCTTGTATAAGTGAATTTAGGTATTTCTTATTTAGTCTCACTATTTATTTATTTAATAAGTTTAATTCCGAAAATATTGTCAAAAACATAAAAAGAAGAGTACAAATTTAAATTTGAGCTGATGCTGATGCATCAGCCAATGCTAATCTGGTGCATCAGCCAATGCTGATGCTGATGTATCAGCCAATCCATTGGTATTGGCCTCAACCCAATGACATCTGCAAATAATAGGCATTAGTGCATCTCTGCTTAAAATTGAACCAAACTTTAACTTACTTATTTCTCTTTGCACTTAATTTTCATTTATTTATTTTTGGTGTGTACAAATATGAACACAGCTTATATCAATATAATTATGCCTATATTTGCTCATTAAATATGGTTACTAATCTATCATTTTATACTTTTTCATTAAATATGGTTACTAATCCATCATTTTATACTTTTTCATTAATTATGATTACTAATCCATCATCTTATACTTTTTCATTAAACATGGTTACTAATCTATCATTTTATACTTTCTTATTAGATATGACTACTAATCTATCATTTTATATTTTCTTGTTAAATATGGTACTATTCCATCATATTATACTTGGTCATTAAATATGGTACTAATCTATCATTTTATATTTGCTCATTAAGTATGGTTACTAATTTATCATTTTATTTTCCTTATTTATTATTGTTTATTATATAGCGAACACTATTTTATTGCGTGGTTTCATTTTCCTGTTTATGCATGAGTCATGGTTTTCCCTTAAAATTCTGAGTTTATCATTTGTATTGCATGAGAATTGCTTATTCTATTGTTATTTTTATTACAATATTTGCCATAAAATAGTGTCTTTATTTTGTTCTGAACATCTGTTTAAGGAATTCTTTTTAATTTTTTTTATCTTTCTTCTCATTCTAATTTTTTTTCTAACTTCACCTGAGCTTGGTCTAGCTTTTTGATGCATACTTTTACATTTTTTTTTAATTCTTATATTGTGACACTCAGCTATGACTATTTTCCATACAACACTATTATACACATTATAATTACATTTTCTTGGCTTACTAATTGCATTTTTTATTTCTTTATTTAATATTAATACATTTATTTTCTACTATTATCACTGTGTGATATCATTAATATTATTGTTATAATTTTTATTGTTATTTTATTATAGTTATTATTATTATTATTACTATTATTATTATTGCTATTATTATTATTATTATTATTATTATTATTATTATTATTATTATTATTATTATTATTATTATTATTATTATCTGTGCTACCATGAGATAGAATACTGTTTGTGAGTGACTTTTTTAAGACATAAATAAGGGCAATGAAGAACTATAAGTTAACTTAGGTAAAAGTTACAAATTTCGAAAGAAACACAGTGCAATTTTATCTGCAATAACAAATTATAAGGATTTCCAAAAATTCAGGATATTGTGGTGTAAATTAGGAGTTGCTCTTTAGTTTTGGGCAACAAACAAGCTCTTTTTTAATCAAAAATGTTGCCTGCCTTTGTGAATAGTTTCATTTTAAATGTAATTTAAATTAGTATTACTGACTGATAAAATAAGGGTAAATATTTCAATTTTAACTTAAATGGAAAAATAAAGGAATGTTAAACATAAATATTATGCAGGTTAATACTTTCAATACATAAAATTATAAAAACAAATAAAAACAACATATTATATTTAAATGAAACAAGAATCAAGTTAATAAAATAGTTTATATATACATTATAGGTTATAAATATACATTATATAGCCATGATGCTTAAGTGCAGCTTTTCAATTTAATCTTGAATAAAAAATAACATGAATATAATTCTTGTTCCCGCAGGAATTTATTGACATTTTGGTAAATCTGTTTTTGGCTGCAATTTAAAATTTCCACTTTGGTACGCCCCTAATTTAAGTTTAAATACAGCGTTTTTTCATAATTTTTGCAAATGTTTCTAATAATTTGACCAACTATATACTAATGTTTCTAATGGTTTGACCAACTATATTGTATCTTTGAAAAAAACAACAAAGTATTCACCTTTTTTGAATATGTAAATAAACAACATATAACCTCAAATTACTAAAATGGAAGAAGTTGATAACAAAATGAACTTTCTTAATATAATGATTAACTCTGTAAACAATAACTTTGATACTTCAACATTTTATAAAAAAAACGTACACAGGTTTACTGACTAATTTTACCAGCTTCACTAATATTAATTATAAACATTCATTGAAACTCTGATTGACAGGGCCTTCAAAATCAACAGATAAGTTTTCATCTAGATATTTAAAAGACTAAACAAACCCTTTAAAAAAATGCTTTCCTTTTGAATTTGATTGACTAAACCTTATAAGATTTACTAAACAATCTTATCTTTCCAAAAAAACACATGTCATATTCAAAACCATCTGATAAACATTACTTAAAACTCCCTTATAATGGATATATTTTAAACACACTTCAGCATCAATAAGATAATATATTTGATATCTTTACAATATATTTAAATATATTGTAAAGATAACAGCCGACACTAGTTTTTAAAACTTTTAAAATTAATAGTTTGGTCCCTTATCCCAAAATATAAAATCCTTTGTTTTTTACAAATTTGAATGTCCCAGCTTTAATACTAAATATATTGGTGAAACCACCAGACACTACATAACAAGTATTTCAGAACATTTAAATTCTGATATGGCCTCCCATATTTACAAGCATCTTGCTTTATCTCAAAAGTTCAACAAATCTTGATTCCTTATCCATTATTGACAGAGCCTCCCCTAAATATGAGCTCACAATTAAGAGTGATATCCATTTTGAAATGGGAAAATCTTCACCTAATACACAATTAAAATGATACACCATTATTTCCTAAATTTTTCTTTCACTTTTTTTTAAATTACTTTACACCTTTTATATAATCTTTTGTATAACTTCTTAATAACTACTTATTTTGTAAAAATGTAACTGTGGTAACTATATATATATATATATATATATATATATATATATATATATATATATATATATATATATATATATATATATATATATATATATATATATATATATATATATATATATATATATATATATATATATATATATATATATATATATATATATATATATATATATATATATATATATATACATATATATATATATATATATATATATATATATATATATATATATATATATATATATATATATATGTGTGTGTGTGTGTGTGTGTGTGTGTGTGTGTATGTATATAGAGTTATACTGAAATATGAATAGACAAAAATTATTACATTAACTAACAAGTAAGGGTTAGGAAAGATCTTTACCTTTAACTCATCTGCATTACTTTCAAGATAGTCAAACCATGACAAACCATCATCAGAATATTGCAAGTTATAGCCGGTTGTTCCATCATAGGATGTCTTCTGCATTTCAACAGTTGCTATTCTAACATTCTAAAACAGTTTAGATAAAAATAAACGAAACAAAAGAGTAAGAAATCATTTTTTAAATAATTACTCAGGTCAATATTCAGATCAGGTCAATATTCAAATCAGAATAACTACTATCATTCTAATTTCTAGCCATTTCATGCATAACAATTTGATCATGTTTATCTGCAACATTTATGTTTTCACCTCCTAAGATGAGCAACTCCAAGAAACGAAAATCAACTCTATCATTACTTTCTTTTTTCAGCCATTTTAGAAAAGTAAATATTTAGAGCCTTCCTTGCTGCTGCAACTTTATTTAGACCAGAAATTTTTAATCACACTTGTTTGCGTCATATTTCTGACTGTAGCTTGTAATCAGTTTCTCCTCGTTCTTCATTAGATGAATAAGATCATAATATGATCTCACTAAAATTTTTACCTTGTTCTTTTTTAACATCAGATTCACCCAATCATCACATTTTTATTATTATCTTACAGCTGATAAAGATTCAACACACAACTTTTTCTAGCCAATTAAGTTCTTATTATTGAATTTATTTCATAAATTCTAAAGACACTTTGTTATTATTTCTAAATTAATTTGTTCACAATAATGGTTCACAATAACGTTATAAGTTATATATATATATATATATTAATATAGCTCAATAATGTTATTTCACATGGTTATAATCTTATTACCTCTCCAAAAAATGAAACAGAATTATTTACAAAGCACTTTCTCTTAATTCAAAATTCTTCTACAGCTTGTGGTCTACAGCTTCATGACAAAATTCTTCTACAGCTTGTGGTCTGGATTTCTGTGACAGCCTAAAGTAGTTAGAAGTCTCTTCATTACATTTTCACATTTCAAGTGCTTAATGAAATCTTAATTTCTTGTCTGCTGGAAAATAAAATTTGTGGTTCCAATTTTTAAAAACACTCTGTATAACTCTGAAAAACGTTAACTATTGCCCAATCCTCTAACTATTATTAACAAAGTTTTTTAATTCAAATCTTTAACAAACGAACTAAAAAAAGAATTTGATCCTATTGTTCTACTATTGACTTGTAAATCATTGTAACAGAAAAATTCTATTATATGAAAAAGATGAACCACAAAATAAAGGCTATGTAATATCAAAGGATTGTAGGCCTTGTAATATCAAATCTTTCAATATAGCCTAGCTTTTTCTCTATAAGCTTTATATGGTGTATTTGGAAATGTCTTTATATTTTATGAACCACTTTTTTCTAACAACAGACCTATAATTGTTTTTGATAACACTCTTCTTCATTTCCAGTAACTAAACAAGGTTTGGTCCTTGGTCCAATGCCGCTCTTTTTTAATATTACTATTCTGATTTGCTTCTAATAAGACTGCAAGCAACTACCATTAAGCTGGAAGCTACAATAAAAAAAAGAATAGAGTTATAGAGCAAGGAAATGGTTGACAGAAGATCTGAATAGTTGAAGAAAGAAGAAGTTGAAGATTGTTTAAGTCAGAAAAATATGAAGATGAGAGAGAGTTCCAAAGAGTTAAATGCGAGAGAAAAAACTAGACAAATAAAAGATTTAAGAGCAAACAGGGATAGATACACTAAAAAAATGAGACTTTGCAGAATGATGAGTCAAGCGTGAATGAATTTTAGTTGATGGAATTAGAGATGATTGCTCCTATGAATAGCTACAATGATAGTATTTGGAGAATAGAGAAAGAGAGATGCAACTTTACAACAATAGAAAAAAGGCTCAAGCTAAGCAGATAGAGTAGGTCCAACTACATTTACAATGCATTTGGTCAAAAAAAAATGAGCATCATTAGAAAAACTGGCCCAAATATGACAACAGTACTTCATACAAAAAAGAATAAGAGATTTGTAGAGGTAGAGAATGGAATCAGGAGAGAGAAAATGGCAAACATGAGAAAAATAAGCAACCTTAGGTTATGTTAGTTTAGTATTCAATTGTATATATGGTTTCCATGAAAGGTCAGTAAAAAGCGATATTCAAGAAAACTCAAAAAAGAGGGGACCCATTAAAGGGAACCCATTAATGAGGACTAATGAATGTATACCAATGAATGACAACCCTCTGAGTGAGAGAATTGCCATTTATTAATATAGGAATGTCAACAAGTATTGTGATAGTTGTTTCAGTAAATAACTGAATTTTATTGGAGTTAAAATTTACAGGCACACTATGAGCCATAATCAGAATCGATATCAGATTTATTACAGAACCAATATCAGTTTCAAGATCGGCTACTCTAAGCAATCAAAAAAAAAAATTTTTGTCAAGACAGGAATATAAAGTTGAGTCATCAGCAAAAAGAGCTACTTTAGATGTAAGGTTGTTGGGAAGATCATCAATGTAGATAAGAAGCAAAACAGGACAATTGATAGAACCTTGAGGTACCCCAGAAGTTATTGAAAATGAAGAAATATGTTACCCTTTCAGGATGACTTAAATAAAGCAGTTAGAAAGAAACGATTTGATAATCACAAAACCTTCCCAGAAATAAACCATATAAAAAAAGCTTATGGTGAAGATCAAACATTGTCGAAAGCCTTAGATATGTCAAGAGCAATAGTCCTTGCCTCTCCACCTCTACCTAATGCATAATAATGTGACAGCATGTTAGTAAGTCAGCAAAAAAAATGTCACAGCAGTTAGCAAGTCAGCCATAGAACAAAAGGATCGAAAATCCTATTGATTGTCTGACAGCAAGTTATTTGACTCAAGATGGAATGTGAGAAATTTGTTTATCCAAGACTCAAAGAACTTGCTAATAACACAAAGAAGACTGATTGGACAGTTATAGGAGGGGTCACATTATTTACCGGAGCTTTTAAAAATTGGCACAACAGATACCATTTTCAAGCAGGCAGGAAAATAAGGCTCAGTCAAGCACTTATTAAATAGTTTAGAGAAAATTGAAGAGAGTTATGGAGAGCAATTTTTTAAGACTATGACAGGAATGTCTGGACCACAAGCTGTAAAAGAGTTTTATTGAGCTGAGAATTTACCAATGGAATGTTGAGTGATTTGAATGAAATGTTGAGTGATTTGAATATCTAACAATCTGTTAACCTGTTTAATTGGAATGGAAGGAACAGAATGACCATAAGATTCAAAAGTCCATTTTAAAGAAAAGTTGTTTACAAATAGTTCTGCCTAATCCTTGGGAGAGGTATTAATATCAGTCCCATGAATGAGAGATGGAATGTTAGACCTACCTTTTTTAATGACGCTGTTGAAGATTTTCTAAAAGTCTTTAAAGCCTAACTTCTGAGATAAGATGCAAGATTTAGTGAATTAGGAATAATGAAGCTTAGCATCATACAACACTCTTTTACATCGATTTCTAGCAACAACAAACAGCGGTTTGTTATTAAGAGAGTTGTTTTTTTGAATAAGCTGAAAAAATGATTACGATTAGATATAGCAGCTGCACAAGAAGGTGAAAACCATGGAGTAGAATGAGGCTTGACTTGGAACCAACAAGAAATAATAAAAGCTTTTATTCCTGCATGAATCCAGAAGTTACATAGGAGGCGTAAGAAAGAAAATAGAGAAACTGAACACAACCTAGGATCAGAGACAAGACATAAATCAAGAAGTAAAAATAAATGATTAGGGTTGTCAGGAAAATGTCACAAAATTAACTATCTGAGTAAGAGATTGAGAAATACAGAAGTTATATGCTTTAGTAGAAGCAGAATCAGTTGCATTAGAGCCTAGCCAATCAGTGTGATGAGCATTAAATTCACCAGTAACAGCAATATTGGCAGAGGAGTAAAGAGAAAAGGCATGGTTAATTTAATCAGAAATTACATCTAAAAGGGTACAATCTATGGAAGAAGGAGAATGATAAAGAACAAAGAGAAAGGTATAAGAGTGAAGAGAAAGGTAAAAGAGTGAAGAGGTGCTGAGCAGAAGCACATAAAAGAATGGTCAGAGGATTCAAACCTGATTTCACAAAAAATAAGTGAATTAATGCTTATGTATACCTACAAGCTAAGCATGTGACTATTGGAGTTTTAGTGAATCAAAGGATAGTACCCATTAAAACTGAGATCTGAAGAAGGAATAGTTGAATTTAAATTGATCTCACTAAGAACAAGCAAACCTAGTAAATTCTGCATGAAGTAAGATTCTACTGATGGAAAGTTGCTTCGCAGACCACAAACATTTAAAAAATATATACTAAAACAGTTAGGTGCTGGTTATAGTTTTTTATGTTTAACTATTTAGGTTACTTTTGGCATAATTTAAGTTTAACGAGAACTTGACTCATTCATAGATAAAGCATGACCTCCTAAGAAATGAGCTATGCAACTGTCTCAGTACATTAATTAAGCCTAAGTCTTAACATAGAATTCCATATGTGGCTTTGACCATGTGCACCAAAAGCATTAACAGGGACACCATCCATGCAAAAATGGCACTGTTAATACTCCGATATTTTGAAACTATTGATGGAATCTGACTCTCAGAGAGCTACTACAGAATTTGGAAAACCTCACCACAAACCAGCCTCAGAACCAATAAATTGAGTTTTGGAGTTGTACCCTCATTAGAAGATAATAGAAAGAGTTTCATAGCCACTATTACAGAGGCACAATCAAAAACTTATAAGAAAAATCAAGAAGATATTATTACTAGTATTATCATCATAGGCAGGAAACAAGGTACCATAGGCAGGAAACAAGGTTTACATCCAGCCTAATAGATGAAGAAGGGGTTCAAGGCTGTTTAGGAGAATTTTTCTGCTGAACTCCAAGGCTGGAGATTTTTAAATCAGAGTTTGTTTTTTCTAGCCTTTGCCAAAAAAGCACACCCTACAACAGGACATAAGGCAGGTAGTACTGGGTTACATGATACCAGTAGCAGGGTGATTATGAAGATCCTAAACCTGACTGACTTTGAATAATTAAAAAGAGCTACTTTCTGCAAACAGTACTTTAAAACGTTTGGTATAATATTTTGGAAATGAATCAGAAAAAATCCTAGAGATTAGGGTGAGCGTAAGTTTAAAGATGTAATAACTATTTAGTTAATGAGCTCACAGTTAATTAACACTGCATCAAAACAGTTTTAAACATATAAACAGAACATTGAAAAATTCAAGCAGTTCACAAACATACATAAAGTAACTTTCAGATGAATAAACACCCCGCCAGAGATTCAGACGGAACACAAACTTACATAAATAAAGATAAAATAACTTACAAGTAAATGAAAACCACGCCAGAGGTTCAAACAGAACACAAACCCACATAAAGTAACTTATGAGTTAGTCAACACTTTGGTCTGAGGTTCAGACAAAAACAATTTTTTTTTAATCATTTACCTACCCAAGGCCAAAAGGCCAATACAGTCAAGGAGGTTACTTTTTGTGGTTACAACCCTCTCTTAACTCTATAACTCCAAAACACGAACCTTAACGAATAAGATCACGGCGCGGAGAAACAAGTTGAGCACGGTACTACAAGGGATGTGGTGGGGATCGAACATGTAACTTCTCATATACATACTAAGTATTTACTTGAGTGTTGACAAAAGTCACTTTTTGGTTGGAACAGGCAGTCAATTTTGAATGAGATTTCTCTTCTTTAATAACTTAGGAGTTACAGTGGCTAATGAAATTTAGCTCAAAGCGCAAACTGTTAATGTTAATATTTATCACAATATTGTTGATATTCTTATAGTAATATAATAATATAATAATAGTAAATAATAGAATAATAGTCCCATACTTTTTGTTTTTACAAATATTTACTACTTACCTCTTATAGAAACCATGTATGCCATTTTGGAAAAGCTATTTCACTTTTCTTTGTTTCTGTCAACTTAAATAGTGTCAACATAAATGATATCAACATAAATAGTATCAACATAAATGGTGTCAACTTAGATAGTATCAATATAAATGGTGTCAACATAAACAGTGTCAATATAAATAGGTTTTAACTTAAATAGTGGTTGCTGACAGCTTAGTTAGAAATCAATTAGTTTAAAAAAAAAAAACTTCTATTTTATTTTAAATTATAAAACAAAATTTAAATTTAAAAAATCTAACTGTATAATAATGTTTTCTAAAACATTAAAGAAATGCAAATTATTAAAAAATTACATGCACCTTTCCAAAATCAATTTGAAACCAACTTCCAATGCTTTCTTTTGGGCACCAACCATTACTGCTAATTAGAACATTTTGAGGTAAATATTTTTCACTGTATACACTACTAGCTGAATATGCAGACACTGGTAATTGAACCATTAATGGTACATCACAATCTAATGTATGTATAAATATGTATAAATCAGCATAAATAAACCATTTTAAAGGCGCAATCTATTGTAGAATTACAAAAAAATGTGTCATTAAAAATTAAAAACAAAACTAAAACTTTCCTGCGGTTTATTTTAATTTTTCTGCATTAAATTCGAGTTTTCAAGCAAAAAAGATTAACTTTTTTTTTTATAAATGTATTATTTCCATACATTCATCTAATAATAAGGCTTTTATGTAAAACCTCCCATTTTTACAGGACCCCTAACACGTCTAAAAAGTAACCAAAATTTAAATAAAAAAATTGTAATTGTTTATTATTTGTTCTATATGAAAAAATATTTTCATATAATTTATTATTGATTATGAAGATATGCTGGAAAAACAACACTTTAACACTTGTTGTAAAAAATCATTTATATTTTTTCACTTTTTATATTTCATAATAAATTGTATGTAAAAAAAAAACAAATTAAAAAAAGATATAATCAGGAGGACTTGCAAATTTCAAGTTTTAGACATTCTAGTTTTATGGTCTAGGTACTCCAGCTTGAAGCAATTGATCTACTATAGCATATTTATAAAAGCATTTGCTCACTTTTTTTTCTTATCTTAATCCATACGACTTTTTTTAGAAAAAAACAAACAAAGTATAATGAATAAAAGGTTTGCTGCCCCATGTCAAACCCTCAGTCGATGCAGCAGCACTCCGCTGCAAGTCAGGCTATTTGTCAGGCAATGTATGTACTGAAGCCCCAGGCAGCAGGTTTTATTAATATGATGCCAGACTGCTTACCTTATTCAGCAGTATAAGATATATACACACACATATACCTAAGCCTTGTCCAGAATAAATGAATAAAAGGGCCAAAAATGATTGTTTAAAATGTATTTGGCAAGCATGCAAGTTGCTTGTCAGCATAGCTTTTTCTGTAAGTACAATATGAAAGCAATAGCATTATCTATTGATTTAACGTAATTTTTATACATTCCTAACAAAGTTTTAAGACTAATAAATTCATTCAACTTGTATAATATATATTTAAAATATATATTAAACCAAGACTGCACTTTTTTAGATCTCTTTACCTCTCTGCTAATATTGCTGTTATTGGTGAATTTAATGCTCATCAGATTAAATAGATTGGTTCTAACACCACTGACCCTGCTGACACAAAAGCCCATAACTTCTATACTTCTCAATCCTTCAGATAGTTAACTTTATTAAATATGAGTTAAATACTGCCATAGCTGCTGTTACCATGGCTGCTGTTCAAAGAAGTTTTTATTTCTAGTTTTATCAACTAAAACTCTTGCATGGCTCATCATTTAACAAAGTAACCGTTTATTGTATTTGTCCCTTCATGCTCTAAAAACTTTTTTTCCTAAAAAATCTTTTTTAGGAAAAATCTTTTTTGAAAGCATGTGATTAAATCAAAGAACAACATCTGCTGTGTTTCTAAAAAGTTTACACCAAACTAATTTTTTTCTTAGAAACTACAGGTTATTTCAAATGTAGTATTAGGTACAAAAAGATTAAATACAAAATCATTTAAGAAATTTTTTACCTAAAATATTCATAACTACAACATTTCTGTCTTTGCTTAAATTGCATGTTTTTTCTATTCCAGCAGGGCACCCATGTTCTGGCCAGCTGCCACCTGGTGCAACACATCGAACACATTTATTACTTTGCATGTGTTGAAGTGATTTTTCCTTTAAAAAAAAGGAAGTTGAAACAAATTAAAAAAAAAACTTAATAAATAAATTAAAATACTTATTTGAAAAAAAAGTTTGACTTACTTTTGTAAAAGAGAACTTGGGTATTTCTCCATTACAATTATCTCTTAAAACTAAATTGTCAGTGCTATCTATACAAATTTTTTTTTTACTGCATTCATGGGTTAAAGTACCATCAATACTAAACGCAAATTTCATGTAGTCATGTTCACAGTGTCCTGAGTGATATTTACTGTCTATGTACATTACAACCGTTCCATCTGGTACATTATCAAGACAGCTAGTAATGCTTGGGGCAATACAAAATGCAGAGTGGTAATTCAAATTAGCAGAAGTTATCGAAGTTGATTGATAAATATTGTCTAAATTTAAAAGTAACATAAAATAATCATATAGTAACAAATATTAATGAATAAATTCAAAAATAACATATAAGTGATTCTCACAAAATAAAAAAAAATAAAAAAAAAAATAATAATAAAAATTAAAAAGAAATAAAAAAATAATGACTTAGATTGACATTAATCTACTATAAATTTACTGTAAATAAAAATGATTATTATAAATACAGTAAATAGTATTTTTGATTCTCTATCATACTGCTTACACAAATACATAAAACAAAAACAAATCTGTTAGTATTAGAGTTTTGTTGCGTAGCAACTAAATTGATTTATTATTTATATAAACCAATTATAATTCTTTATAAATCATCATAATTATTTACCATATTTTTTTCTAATTTGTCTACTTTCTTTTTTATCAACAAGTTTTATATTTATGTATTTTAAGCTTTGTGTAATTTGTTAGGTTCAGAGTTAACAATTATTTAAAATCACTCATGTATTATTTACATGTTTACACATTAAATTATTTATTCATTTGAACTATTTATAACATATTTATTTATGATTTAGTATATTTCTTGAGATAAAGTCTGAATTGGTATAGTAGGATAAAACCATATATGGGATCCATATTGAGTAATTTAATTTTGTTAGAAGTATTTTTTTTTTTAATCCATTTTATCCATTTATTTAACCATAAAATATGAAAATTTACAATAATATTTTATAAACTTACATAAATAAGGTTAGGTGTCACTCATATAGTTAAAAACTAGTCAATGGAGTGACACCTAAAAAAAAAATAATAATAAATAGCTACAAAAAAAAACTATAAATAAACCATAGAAAAATTTTAAAATAAAAATGAAAAAATTAATAAAAAGAAAGAAAGAAAGAAAGGAAAATAAAGCACAATAAATCAAGATAATATTAATAATTGCAATAATAATATAATATTAATAATAATGTGAATAAAAAAAAATTACAAATAGTAACTATATCATGATAATTTTACTAAAAATTAAAACTAATAATAAAAACAAAGGTAAAAAAAATGAAAGAAAGTTTAAAACTATGACAGAAATTATTAAAACAAACATTATTACTATAACCATATAACTATTACTACTATGAAATCAATAACCATAGATTACTAGTATCAATATTTTTAAAAATAATGTTAATAAGGCTTCTGAAACAATGATAAATTTATAATAATATTAATGATAGAAGTGGAGTTGAAAAAGACAATATAAAACAAAAGTATTAACGGTTTTATTTTACAGTAATATAAAAAAGCAATAATAATAAGAGATAAAATTAATATTCATTAGATATAAACTTAAATAAAAATTTATTGATTTGGTTTTGATTGAGAAGAAGAATGTTGGTAATGAATGTTGGTAATGAAAGGGTATTTAGGTAAAGTCTTTTTTTTTATAAATGGTAGCGTTTGGTTCCAGTGAGAAATACATTGATATTTTATAGAGAGCTTGCCATACTTGTTAGAGTTGAAAAGGAAGTGTGCAAGGTAAAATTTTCAGTATTTCGAGTGTAATACTTTTTTGCGTCACTTGTTTTAATAAAAAAACTATTAAATTAATTTGATAGTTTATTTTGAAGAAAATCAAACACAAAGAGACAATTATAAAACTTTACAAGATCTTGAAATTTTAGATTTTTTAATTCAGAAAACTTGTTTTGGATATTAGATCGTAAAGGAGAAAATGTCATAATTCTCATGAAATGCATTTTGAACTGTTTATGCAATTTAATAGGAAACTACCTTTTTGACCCCAAACAGTGCAACAATAACTTAGATATGAGGAGAACAAGGAATAGTAAATTGATATTAAAATATGTTGGGGAATATAGTGTCATATTAATGACAACATACTATTGGCATGTGAGAATTTTTCATTTAATTGAGTCAGTTGATAGTACCATTTTGTCAACAAATGCTCCAAGGTATTTTAAATATTTAGATGGGAAAAATCTTTTACCATTCTAATATTTACATTGTCACTATCAATCTTTTTTTTGAAAATAATAAATTGAAAAATAATAAAATCAGTTTTATTGGTATTCAGAGAAATAAGGTTACTATATAACTAATGACAAAAACAATGGAGGTCTGAATTATCTTTTTAGCAAAGCTGCGCGAATGATTAATTTATGCATAGAAGATAAGTGTCATAAGCAAAAACAATCAAACTATTTGTTGAGTGAGACAGATCGTTAATTTAACAGTAAAGAAAAAAAATCGTTAAAAACAATAAAGGCCCTATAACATAACCCTGTAGGACACTATACTTAATATCTTTACTTTAATGAGTTTTAACCCATTGTGTTCAATCCATTGTGTTTCAATCCGTTGAGTTTTAATCCATTATGTGTGACAAACTGAGTGCAATTTTTAATATAGGATAAAAACCAATCAATAGTGGTACTTAGTATACCATAATAATACAATTTTTCAAAAAAAATCTTTTGATAAACAGTATCAAATGCTTTTTGGAAATCAATAAAGATGCCACAAGCAAAAAACCCACTATCAATCGCACCACTAACCATTTCAGTAATGCTAATAAGTGCATGGAAAGTAGAGTGTTTTAAACATCTTGAATTTTTTTTTTTTTTTTAACATCTTTGCTTCCAACAAGGTTGCAAGCAACCACTAATTAGTGTTGAAAGTTACTGAAAGAGGAAAATTGAAGATTGTAGAGCAAGATAACGATTGACAGACGACTTAAAAGATTGCAAATTATATGAATCAGGAAAGCAAGATGAAGGAAGCGAATTCCAAAGAACTGATGTTTGAGGGAAAAAACTAGAGTATTAAGAGTTTTTGGAGCACTTATGAACAGTAACAGAAAAAGGATGAGACTTAATTGAATGACAAGTAATTTAAGAGTAAATTTTAAGTAACTTGACTTGACTCGAAACATAGACTTGACTAAGAACTTGACTCGAAACATAGATAGTACTTCGTACACTGTTTAACAGCCCAAGCAATTGCCTCATTAATATTAACAAACCCTGAGCCGTAACAAAGGGCTCTGATGTGGCCTTGGCAATGCACACTAAATGCATTTAACATCTACCCAAGATGAGTATTTTTATCGAGACACCATCTCTAGCCTTTACTCAACCAAAAGTCCCAAGGCAGGGGGTGTTTTATGTTGGAGTTGGCATCTCCTAGCCTTTGCCTAAAAAGGCATATCCTACAAGGCAGCAGGATATGAAGCAGATTGTACTGGGTTACATGTTACCAGTTTATAAATAAGATATAGTTATAAAAGCAACTTTATATTTTTTATAACTATTATAATGTTTATAAACTTTTATATTATACTACATTTTATGTTACAGTAGGTTTAATGAAAATATAGTAAGTGCTTAATGTTTTTAATTACTTATGGAGATTTATGGAGTATAATGGGGTTTATGGAGGTTTATGGAGGTTAATGGAGGTTAATGGAAGTTTATGGAGGTTATGGAGGTTTTAAAATACTTATGGAGAATATGGGATGAATGAATATTTTTTTGCAGTTCTTTAGGGATTGAAATAAAAAAAGAGTATTTTTTCCCGAGATTTTAAATGAATCATTAATAAAGGCATTGTTTGAAGATATATAAGATGGATATGAGATATCATTCAATATCATTCATGTCAGAATGTTTGATTTCCAGTTTTTAGAAAAGCTAGAATTAACCATTGAACCAATGAACTCATCCACCATTTCGCTCTACATCTGTGCTGATATCGGTTGTTAATGTGTTTTAAAGAGTAGAGTCATTAAAATTTTTTATCTAAGTTTATCAATGAGATTGAATTGAAGCAATTTTAGGTTCTTTATACAAAGGCTGTCCATAAAAATTTTAGGCTGTTTATACAAAGAAAAAAAAAGAAAAACATCATTTGTAAGAAGGAATAGTAGGTTCAACAAGGACATAGGCATTAAAAATCAAAATACAAAGTTGATAACATGACGGATGGTAAAATGGATATGATCAACATTAAACTACTAAACATAGAGTAAATTGTAAAAAGTTATATTTAAAAAATATATAAAATATAAATAACCTTGCAATGCAGGACAGCCACGCACATCAAGTTTAAAGCATGAATACTTTCCAACAATCCATTGTTTTGGTAAAACCCTTAGATATTGAGCTGTTATAGGAGGAGAAAGTTTTGAAGCAAAACTTGATAAGCTACCAGTAGGTCCGAGGAGAAACTAGATTACAGTTATGCACCAAATATTTTTGTTTATCTTTGTTTATGACACACACACACACAAACATATAGTTAAATATATTTATATATATGTATATATATATATATATATATATATATATATATATATATACATATATATATATATATATATATATATATATATATATATATATATATATATATATATATACATATATATATATACATATATATATATATATACATATATATATATATATATATATACATATATATATATATATATATATATATATATATATATATATATATATATATATATATATATATATATATATATACATATATATATACATACATACATATATATATATATATATATATATATATATATATATATATATATATATATATATATATATATATATATATATACATATATGACTTTCCTTGCAATGCGACATCTTTTTGTAAACAATATGTGCGCATACTTATAGGCAGAAAACATTAAAACTTTACAAGTATACATTTATAAGTTCCTAATACAAATACACTTTTTAAGTGCTTTTTACATTTCTTTTATATCTTTAAATAAAATTGTCAGTTATAAATTACAGTTAAAATGTAACGAATTACAAAAATAATGTTACATTTTGTTTTTTGTTTTTTTGTTAAATTAAAAGTTTTTATTATTTTTATAAACTTTGATTGCTATTAAAATCTTTTATGTATATATTAAATGTTCTACTGCAAATTTTATATTTAGATTAATTCAAAAGAATTTTTTAAAACTCTTTTGAAATCAGTCTAAGTTTTCAAAAGAGATTTAAAAAATTCTTTAGTTTGTTGGTGTTAGATTTTGTTTAAAAAATTCTTTTGTTCGTCAATGTTAGATTTTGGTGTGAAATATGTTTACTTTGTTCAAGTAAAGATTATTTTTTAAAATTCAATAATTCAATTAAGTTTTGTGTTGTAATTAAAAGAAAAAAACTTAAAACTCTGCTTTATAAATATTGTTTTGATAACATTAAGAAATAGTAGACTTATTATTAGGTGTTTGATTTCATAATGTATTTTCTCAGTACAGTTATCAAGATGTTGTAGATAATAGTATTGATAGTCATATAGTTGTCGTTATTTACATAAAGCTTCATAGGATACTTTTCTCTTCTCTTTTTTAGATTGAACTAGAAATTATAGTTATGAAATCAGATGGATTAAGCTAATACATTAGCTTTAATCAAGTTTCTACATCTTCTACTTTTAAAAATTGATTTTCCAAAAGAAACTCTATAAGCTTTAAATCCACATTAGTTTTCACATCTTTTTGAGCAACTAGCTACACAACAACTTGTTGAAATATTTTAATTCTTGTTGAAAAATAAAAACAGTGAATAAATTTTTTAACAGAACATACCAATATTGGAATTTTTTCACTCAAAATTTTTTAAACATTTGTTTTTTTTGCCAAGAAAAAGAATGTGCACATTTTCTTTTTTTTGAAAACAAGAATGTAAACATTCGTAAAATGTAAAATACATATATTTTTTTTAAATGGCAATGCTTTAGGTAGCTCAGAAATAATATTATTAATGAAACAGTTATTAGAAATTATGTTACTAAAAAAAATTATTCTAAACAACAGTAAAAAATGAGATCTGAAATTACCTTTATGGAACGATTACAGGGAGCACCATTACGAAAAGTTTTATCTTCAGGACACTAAAAAAAAAAAAATTATTTTAGACTATTTTTAACTTTTTAAGTTTATGTTATATTTAAATAAGGAAAATACAAGATAACCTATCCACACAAGTGGAAAAATAAAACCCATCCACACAAGTGGGAAAAGTAAAACTCGTCCACACAAGTGGGAAAAGTAAAATCCATTTACACAAATGGGAAACTATGTATGTTTAACTTCAAATAAAAATCTTTTTTTTACATACATATATACAAAACGATTTTTTTGCATTTATTTCTTCATACATAAATACTACTACCTTAAGCTTTCTTTATGCATAAATACTACTTCACTAAATTCTTCATAAATAAATACTACTTCCCTAAACTCTATACAATCAGTTATATTATTAGGTACTTGATGCAACCATATCATGTTTCAATTGAATTCAAATAGTGATATGCTCTTATGAGAGAAAGGTACTACGGGTATTATGAAAATAAAAAAAAATCTTTTCAAATATTTGTCGGATTATAAACAAACCTTGATAATCAAGGGTTTATGTGGTAATTAAAAAAAAAATTAAATCTTATTTTCATAACTTTGGGGAAGGTTAGGGGGGGGGGGAATAGTGCTACAAACATATTTTTTTTTTAAAAAGGTGAATTAAAATCTTTTTAAATAACTATAAATTTTTTATATTTTATTATATAAAAGGATTGATATAAAAGTATATAAAGACATACAGTAGCTTTGTCTCCTTCACAGTACTCCGGTAGGTCACAATCTCCAGTTGCCTTTCTACATAAAGTACCTTGTCTTTTGTACTAAAAATAAAGAATATTAAAATTAAGTATAAAATTTAAAATTTAAAATAACAGTTAGCACCTATACCAGTTAGCACTTATGCGAATGTTTGCAAATTCATTTAGCACGCTTATGTCAATTTGCATTTATGTCAGTTTGCCTATTTGCCAATATTTGCAACTGCTTTGCACATATGTCAGTTAGCACTTATGCCAGTTTGCACCTATGCTAATATTTCTTTTGGTACACTTATGCCAGTTCATATTAAAGTTATCGCAGCTGCTTTGTACTTATGCTAGTTTGCACTTATGCTGTTGCACCTATGAACTTGCACTTATTCAGTTGCCCCCCTGAAAAAGTTTCCAAAAGTGACTCTCTGAATCAAATAATAAAACCAAAGAAACCATAAAAAATGTTTAAGCTTTGTGACTTCTTTGCTGCTGATGTCATTAAAACAACTAAAAGTGATTGAAATGTTTCCTCAAAACAAAAAAAAAGTTTTGACTTTTCAATGGATCAAAGATCCACTAAAAAGGTTTACTTTAAAGCAGGAACTGACAAGAGGTATTCACAGAGTATTCAAGATAGGTATTTAAGAGGTATTCACAGAGAAAATCAAAAAACTTCAAATTCAAAAAGACCAAGAATAAACTAAGTTCTTCAACATGAAACTAAAGTCCTAACTAAATTCTTCATCATGAAACTCAAGATAAAAGTAACGGAAGTTTTGAAACAAAAAAAGATTTGGAGTAAAGCTAAAATATCAAGCAACACTTTGAAATTCCAACTTGCAAAGCCTGTCATACCTGGACGACCAAGAACACTTGTGCAAGCAAAGAACAATACTTAATTTTTTGTTTCATCAGTATTTTGGACTCTTTTCAAACTTCTAGAAATAAATGATTTAACATGAATCTCACAACCATCAGATAAATGTCAAAAAAAATCAGTGCTTTTGTAAATAACAAATAGGTGAATTGATGCGTATATATCCTCAAGCCAAGCATGTGACTATTGGAGTCTATTATGATGTGACTATTGCATTTGATTATTGCATGTATATAAGCATGTGACTATTAAATCTATTGTCTGTTTTGACTAAATAGAAATAGTCTTTAACTTAAATAGATCATAATTTGATCTAAAATCTTTTAACTTGAACCCAACCTAACCTAAAAATGCTTAGATTTAAGGACTTTTGTTATGTTTTTGAAACATTATTTACATTCAT